AGTGATATAGAGGTAAAAATTCAGATGCCATCTCTATATAAGGGTTTGATTGAATCATCACGACACTCACCAATAAGAGAAGATTTGTCTTCACCATCACCTAGATGAAGGATCATGCATCCGATGGAGGTGTAAAATAAAATAAAAATATTCCTCCATCTAAAGCTCTCAAGATCAAGCCATTGAATGAACTAATTATAAATACATGAATTAAAAGTAAGAGTAAAAGATTACCTCTTGTAGTATAGATAGAGCCTTTACAAAAAATGAAGTCGTCCAAGTGTCCGACCTCTATTGACAACCCATGCAGCTTAAACACCCACAAAGGAAGCCATATAAATCATAGCGTGCTAACTTTAATCTTTTTGTATAGTTGATTTTTTTTTCGAAAGAGATCAATTAGAGTTTTTATGGCAACTCGGACTTTTTAAGAAGGGAAACAATAACTTATGCTTTTGGAAGAGAAATGTTTTTTTTTTTCTCTTTTTACCATGTGTGTTTTGTTGTCTCTCCTTTTGTTGCCTTTCTCCTTATTATTTATATAGGGTACGACATCCTTCTCCTGTATGGACAAGGAGTTGCAATATGTGTGGCTTGTTTGATCTTATCTTTATAAATCCTAAGCCTTATCCAATAAGACTCAAGTTTATCCTCTCACTAAAATATCTTACAAGTTTTTAAATTAAGCCTATTGGCCCAACATATTTTAGCTTGATTAATTATCAATTAATTTGGACTATCTAAATAAATTGGGTTAGATATTTTTAGAAAGCCCACATTAGGAAATAATTTCTCAAATTACCCATAAACCTAAATAACGAAACTAATTTTTTTTTAGGTAACTTACTTCTAAATTTGAAACTGACTTCTAAATTAGAAAATGCTTTCTAAAATAGAAAAATTTCTATTTTAGGAAACTTTTTATTTTAGGAATTTTTTTCCAAAATAAGAAACTTTCCAAAACGGAAAGCTTTTCCAAAACAAGAAATCTTCAATTTTTGAAAACCTTTTCCAAAATAGGAAAATTTCCAAAACTAGAAACCTTTTTCCAAAATCTTTACTTCTTTTTTATTATGTGAATGCTTAAACTTATATGTGTGACTCAATAGACTACTAAATATGTTTGAATTATATCAAGAATAAAAGACACCTCTTTTATCTCTTGATATATAAATCAAGATTAACCTTTAGAAAGACATCTTGACTACCCAATTCTCTAAGAGGATTAATTAATCCATAATTACCTTTCACGAGCATGATTACTATATAATTTATTTCTCATGTTAATGTATCACATTGTGATCTCAAACTTGGTTTTTAGTTTGTTTGATTATGATCATATAAGTTTTCTTCGATTCCTAAATGTCTTAACTCTACAGTAAAACAACTATGCTCTATTGGTATACTCCCACTATGGTCGCATATTTCTTGAGTAGACATTTATCGAAGCGCAATGTGATAACTCCTTTAGTATATAAGGAATGACATATCCTATCTTAGTCATCCACCTATCTCTAGTAAATTCTTAGTGCACCTAACAAATCATCCACATATAGCTCTTGACTAAGCTCATCGAAATGAGTGTTAAAGTATATAAATCCTCTAATAAGATAATTATGATGACTTTAAGTTGAAGGACTAGTTGTACCCATCTTGTATGAGATTTCTATAGACAAAACCAAATGGATTTTTATGGTGAGTCAAGTCTAGTAATATGTTCTTTAACCTTAATCACCTAAGTGCTTGCTTTGGCATCATCATGCTAATAGGTGTGAGATCTCTTATTCGTTGTCTTATAATATGAGTATAACATTCACAATTCTTACTACACATGGTCAATGTCCATTCTTGAAAATGATATAACTTGGAACATTTAATGATATCATTTAAGTGTATTAATATTTGTCTCACATCTTTCGATCAATCATTAATGCAATGTATATCATATAGACTTTTATCTAATTCTATCAAAATATAAACTATAAGAATTAATAAAAAGACTTTTTTTATTAATTAAATAAAGAATGCAATATTATAATAAGTCAAATAATCCAAAAAAGTTTGGATCCCGGGCACCTACACTAACATTAGAAGGTTTAAATATGTATTTAATGTGTATAGAAAAAGTATAAAATTATGTAACATGAATGTCACTAAACCTAATTGCTTTGGTGAAGTCTCCAAGCACGTTAGATGGAAAATTATAATGTATGAGGAGATTGATATGATTAACAAAAATAAAACTTGAGAGCTTGTGGACAAGCCTACTTATAGGAAAGTTATTATAGTAAAATAGATATACATAACCAAATTGAATCCAAATGGTTCAATACAAAAGTATAAAGCCGGATTGATGGTAAATGACTACTCTTAAGAACTTGGAGTTGACTATGTTGAAGCCTTTACACCAATTGTAAGGCTTAACACTATTAGTTATTGGAGTCAAATGGATATACATGGCCAAATTGAATCCAAATGGTTCAATGCGAAGTATAAAGCCGGATTGGTGGTAAATGACTACTCTTAAGAACTTAGAGTTGACTATGTTGAAACCTTTGCACCAACCGTAAGGCTTAACATTGTTAGAACTACCTTGATTGCATTAGCTACATAAAAAGAATGGAAAGTGTTCTAATAAGATGTGAAATGAGCCTTTCTCAATAGTTACTTGAATTAAGAGATATATGTTGAGCAACCATATAGTTATGTAGTCAAAGGTAAGGAATAACAGGTAGATATTTTTGTAGTCAAAGGTAAAGACTGATAGGTAGATAGTTTTCTAGTCAAAGGCAAAGAATAATAAGTCTACAAATTGAAATAAGCTATTTATGTACTTAAGTAAGCACCAAAGGCTTTGTATAGTAGATTTGATTCTTATTTTAACAAACATTGGTTCAAGAGAAGGAAAAGAGAATCCACACTTTATGTTAAAACTCAAGAAAGATTAGTTGTGTTTATTGTCTCATTATATGTTGATGATTTTCTCATGAAAAGAAAATTCAGAGATTGAGACATTCAAGCAAAAAATGAAGAGAAACTTTGAGATGACAAGCCTTGGTTTGATGAGTTATTTTTTTAGGAATGTAAATATATAAATTAAATGTTAGAATTTTCATTAATTAAGAGAAATATGCTATGAAGATCATAAGGAAGTTCAATACACAAAATTGCAAGTTTGTTACCACTCCTCCAGAGAATCAATAAGAAGTTGTCAAAGAATGAAAATGAAAAAAAGGTTGATGGTATATGCTTAGAAGTTCGATTGGAAGTTTATTGTATTTAATAGTCATCTCGGCCATATTTGATGTTTGTTATAAGTTTATTATCCAGGTTTATGAAATCTCAACTCAAGTTCATTTTAAAGTTGCTAAAAGGGTGCTAAGATATATTGAAGGCACCACAAATTATGGCATTTGGTTTGATAGTTTTTTTTTTTTTTTTTGATTTAGATGTGAAAGCGATTGGGTTGGTTCGAGTGCATGACATGAGAAACACTTTTAGGTATGCTTTCTCATTTGGTTTCGAAGTATTCTCATAGTTATCAAGGAAGCAATATATTTTTTGCTCAATCAACAAGCATAAGTAAAGTACATTGCAATAGCTACGATTGTGAATTAGGCAATTTGGATAAGAAAAATTATCAAAGATTTGTATGAAGAATGATTAGAAGTAACTTATATGAATGTAGAAAACAAATTAACGATTGCTATAGCTAAGAATCTAGTCATCCATGGTAAAACAATGCATATTAATGTGAATTTTCACTTCTTTAGAGAAGTTACGAAAGCAAGGAAGTCTTTCTAGCCCTTTATGACTTTGAAAATTTGCTAGCTAACATCTTTACTAAGGCATTTTCCAAAGGCAGATTTGAAGTTCTTAGAGGTAAGCTTAGGTTATTAAGCAAAAATCTTAAGGAGGAGTGTTATAATGATGAAATTTTTGTCAAATACTCTCAAGAATAAATACATACATGCATAATATATTATTGACGGTATGTAGTGTTCGTGATGTAATAAAATTTGTTGAATTTCATAGATAAAATTGAGTTATAGTCCTTAAGTTATAGTAAGAAATTTATAGCAATAAGTTAGTGTGATTAGGTGATGACTTTCTGTCTTGTTAGAACTCTCTAGTAACCTAGTTAACTTTATATATATGGTTGCCTTATATCCAAGCAAAAAACCAAATCAAAGAAATATAAAATTGTAGAAAATCAAGGCTAATTAGTTCAATAGTACCCTATACTATGCGTTCAATATAGATCGGTATCCAAAACTAATTTTTTTTTCAATTCGAGTACCATAATTATTTTTTGGTTTGTAATCAAGTCCGTTAACACTATTGACCAAATTTCGAGTGCACATGATGGTAAAATGACCGAAAAGCCAAACCCTTAAATTAAATTTCCAAACCTTAGTCATCTTCTCAAACAAGTCTAACACCATGGAAGACTAGCATATATCTCTTGTTTATGTAAAATCCCGAACCGCTAACCTTATTAGAAATGTTTTAGTAATGAACAGACTTTATCAATGGTGCATTTCCTTGTTTTGTTTTTGAGGTAATCATCTATTTGGCTCTTATTTTCTCCTCCAATATCTCTAAAAATAACATCACAATATCATTTCATATATCTTAACCTCTCTTTCTAGCTACTAGCAATCTCTCATTTCTTTGTCTTTTACTTTCTGTCTTATTAATTTCTAAGAAAGAGGCTACTATCCATAGAGCAAGCCTAAGTAACAAGTTTTATTCCTTCTTTCTTTCTTTTTTCACATTTTTATAATTGGGTATTTGCATATCAATTAATTAAAAAATAAATACTAAAAGTAAAAGGTTTTTTCATTCAAACAAAAACCTTAGATGTGAACGTGTAGTTTTATACCATAAGATGAATTATAAACATATAGGCGAAACACATTGGTGTGTTTGTGTGTATATATATAGACACAAATGATCAAATATTGCTATCAAATGAATGAAGTTTTAATTACAAAGAGAGAGGAGGGTGTATAGGATGGGGAGGCCATAGCGATGGTGCAATACAAGTGACGTCGAATGTGGTAGTTGAGGTGGCGAGAAGAGGAAGGAGGAATAGAGATGATGGTGGTGGAAGGTAAAAGTGTGAGGGAGAAGAAACATAAAGAGAGGAAGGAAACAGATCGATAAGGAGAGTCGATGATTAAATGATTTAGGTTTTCTCAAAATCTTATTTTTCATTTAATTTAAGAGTAAGGATAATTTGTAATTTCACCGCACCAAGTTGGTCAACCAAAAAGGCAAAGTCCGGATATCTTTTATTTGTTGGGTCATATTAGCATTATGGGCAAACAGCGTATTCAGAATTTTGTCAACGGGATTGCTTGACTTTATTACAAACCAAAAAGTAATTTTGGTACTCAAATTGAAAATTTTTTTGTTCAAAGTACCAACCTACACTCAATGCCTAATAAATAATACTATTGAACCAATTAGTCAAAAACCAATCTTAGTTTTGTGCTATTTAATTTCTCTATTATTAATTTAAAATTATTACAACTCCAACTTAAAGTTGTTATCCAACTAACTACTAATGTACATGCATCATCAGTACTCTTGGTGCATGTTTTGATGCATTTGATCATAAGTTGAACATTACCTTTATTTTGATTGTAATTTTTTATTATTTTTCTTTGATACATTTCATAAGTTGCTTTAGTTAGTTTCTTGTTTATTAATTTGTCAAATTCGTTCCATTCTCGGGATCACAATTTTGTAGATGAAAGAAAAAAAAATCTTCCAAATTCCAACCAAAACATAATTTGTAGATTATGTAGTATGAAGACACAAAATAAGGATGTTGTATATGTTTTTAGTATATGCTTTCTCTATCTTAAAAGAGATTATTTATTTATTTATTTTTCATTTGTATCAGTCTTAAAATGTTTTTCTAGTTAAAATTTTAAAGAATACATTTTCCTAAATTACCTCTAAATAATTAAAAAAAAATCAATTCTTTCTTTCATCTCCTGTTTTTTTTACAAATAGAATGATATATATATATATATATATATATATATATATATATATATATATATATATATAACATATGTTTTTTTTAAAAAAATTGTTATGCAAAAAATATTCATTTTTATAAAACTTTGTTGCATGCTAATATTAAAATTTTGAGAATAAAATATATTTATTAATATATTAATTTTTATAATTATTTTAAACTTAATCATTAATGAAAAATAAATGAAAGACTGACCATGATGACTGTTTCGACTTTGCTATCCAAAATAAGGATCTTGAGTTCACTGTCTTGAAGCTTTAGAAGGACATCAACAAGATCTGTTTCTAGGTTACTAGTTTTTATTGTTTTTTTTTACTCTCCTCATGCTCGCTGGCGATGTTCTCGAGTGTTCGATTGGTTTGTCGTTTCCATTTCATAAGTTTAGGTGTCATACCACTTATTGCTTCTAAGGAAGGGTATAGATCTGCAAGACTAAACCTTGCTGTAAGCTGTACAAGTTACTCGGCAATCGATATGAATTCCTCTTGATCTTTTTTTTTTTTTTTTTTTTTACCAAAGCCTGTTCTTGAAGGGATGTTGTATGTCAATGAGAAAATCTTCTTTTTGAGATTGATGGGCACTGATATTTCACTTGAAGATATTACTCGTATCAGAATTAACTCTTCTTTTTCCCGAATTGATATGAAGGATTGAACACAACTTACACTTTAGAGTTCCATCATGTAAATTTTTCTTAGCTCTCTCTAATACCCACCATATGGTGAGAAGATAATATTTGTAGAATCGTAAGAAATAATCCTGTTTAAATTTTTTATACAACAGAAAAAGGGTTACATTTAGGAATTCTTACTGAGTTTAGTCAGATGCAGAAGTGGTGTTGCATCTTGGACCGTACCTTTGGGAAAAGCTTTTCTAATTATGATTTAAGTGACATATGAATGGACTCATGAGGTTCTAAATTTCTAATGTGTGTTGTGCTCATTGTAGGTAAGAATCTTCCTTTCTAGTTATACTTTTGCTTCTAGTAAATAATTTGTTGTTTTACTTGGATGCTTATGGTATCTGAATCACCACCACAGATTAGAAGTTCTAATTATATAGAAGTATATGTGACCATCATAATTTAGGTATTATTAATCTCCTACTAAGTGTAAAATGAAGATGGAAAGGTTAAAGAAGAAGAATAGGAAGATAGGTAAAGCAAACTAGTAGGGTGTGAACCTATTTATAGTGTTAACACATACCAATTCTCATAGACTATATGCTTCTTCTGCTATAGCCTTTTTTTGCGAGCAAATGACTTATCGGATGCTTTCAACCCTCTTTTCTACATCCCACAACCTAGGGATAAAACATTAGAGAGTTAAATAATCCATCCGTACCTTTTTCTCGCATCCATTTGTGATGTGGACAAACGAGTTTTGAAATTCATGAAATGGTATGAGTGTGGCGAAGTTGAACAAAATTTGTTGGTCCAATTCCAAGGTTTTTTGACCTAGTTCAATGTCAAATAGGCCAACGAACAAAACTCATTATCTATGCCTATGATGTAGGGGTGATTTTTACTAATTTTTAGGATTTTTTCTTACTTTCAATTTTTTAATATTTGTATTCTTTTTGAATTGCTTTAGGGTTTTCGTCAAAATTTTCTACTTATATATGACTTGGAGGTTGAAAAATGTAACTTTTTTTATTAATAAAAATTTATGAGAGAATTTTTCAAATTTATCTCAATTTTTGGCATTCTTTAAATCAATGAAATTGAAGCATATTTTTTGATATTTGTGCATAATTCAACAAGTTGTAGTAGATCGATATTTGGATTTTAGATCAACGGTATTTATTTTCTTCCTATGAGCTTTCACTACATCAATTTGTGCTTCTTTTTCTTTTTTTTTTCTTTTTGCTCGGATGTTTATTTAGTGATCGTCGCTCAATCTTTGCCAATTTTGGTAAAGAAGGTTCTCATGAATGCTTTTGGATTTGTAAAATTTTGATTGTTTCTTTCACATAACCTCGCCTCAAACTTTCTTTATCTTGAACACTATCACTTTCTCGCCTTGCAAATCCTTTTGATAACCTGGCCTTTAAGAAAAAAAAAATGATATAATGGCTATTCATCATCTTTTTTCCATTTTTTTGGTGAAGGAACTACCATATAAGAAAGTTCACCAAGCCGTAAGTACATCAAGGATCCATGTTTCTTTGTTAAATCTCTTAGGCACCGGTGGGGGAGGGAGCCAAAAAGCAAGTGCAAGTTTCCAATGGCAAGTAGTTTCCATGGCCCTAGGGTAGCTTTGGTGCTCGGTTTATTGAGTGTTGAGCTCTTAGCTAACTTAATTACCATAAAAGAGAAAATGATTAAGGTGAAGAAAAAGAGGCAATGAAAGAGATTGAAGGCCTATGATTATGGTGGGGGGGCTAGAGGAGTCTTGAGGAGAATGCTATATGATTAAAATGCATTTATGATGAACAAAATAATGTGTAAAAAAATTACAATTTGGATCCTTCTATCTTTACCAATCTAACTATTTGTTTTGAATTTATAATTTATATTATATAAAATAATAAAAAATTAAATTATTAATCTTTTTTATCATGCACTCAATTATGTCTATTTAATAAACATAAAAAGCATGAGAAAGAGGAATCTTATTTGTGATGGAATTACGTATGTTTTTTTTTTAAAAACAAATTGTAATCTAAATCTAAATCCAACTGCAAATCCAAATGCAAATCCAAATTCATAGCACTTCTCTCACTCCATGTTAATATAATATATGAAAACATGTTAGCCATGCTTGCCTCCCCTACTCCTCCTCCCCTATTGGTTTGGCTTCTCAAGATGCTATAGCTTGAAAGACACTTGATGTGATACTTTAGTATATGAAATTACTATGTCCACTTGATGTGATACTCTAGTATATGAAATTACTATGTCAAAAATGGTCTTTTAACTTGGTAGTTGGAAAAATATAAAGTATTGGGCAAATCTATAAATAATTTATGGGAGTTTCCTAATCCTACGTACTTGATCTCTTTGCATAACTTAATTTGTGTTTACTTGTAGAAGACAACTCTTAGTGGTGTCATTTGGTTACTAAAAATGAAAGGTCCGAAATGAAAATGCAGGAATCGAAATGGTATTTATATTTTCATATCGTGTTTGGAATACTAATGAGGAATCGAAATGTAATTTAAATTTTTTAATATTTTATTTTTTATACAAATAAAAATAATAATTAGAAAAATAATTTTATCAAACTATAAAGGTTGTAAAAATAATAAAGGTGATCATGGTGGTGGTTTTTGTTGTGATAGTGGTGGTGGTAGTTGTGGTGTTTGAGGTGATGGTGGTGATGCTTATGGTGGCGGTGATGATGGTGCTTATGGTGGAAGTGATGATGGTGCTTATGGTGGTAGTGGTGGTGGTGGCCGTTTTAGTGGCAGTGGTGATGGTAAAAATAGTTAATAGACAATAAATAAATAAAATATATTATTATTTAAAAAAAATTTCATTCCCATTTCTTATTTTATTCCCACATCTTAAATGGAAATAAAGTTATGTGTAATTTTCATTCCTATTCCCATTCTCACTTCATTCCTTTTAACTATATAGCTCTAATGTAGGAATAAAACTTTCATTTTTATTCTCACCAATTTATTTTTTATTACCAAATAACACCTAGGTGCTTATGATATATCCAACTTTCTTTCATAAAGATTCATTTTCCATTTTTTCTATGTCTTTTATTACTCTTTTAAGATGCGGTTAGGTATGTATAAGCTAACTTCACTACTTAAAATAATACATTCTAGTTCAATGAAAAAATAATAATAATTTTATGCTTTTTGCCCATTCATATGTTCTAAACTAATCCTACTTCCTATCCATGTACATGTGTTAAAGAAAGCACTTTAATAAAAGGGTACATAAAAACGGTGGACAAGCCTAGCCAAAGTTTTCATGGCATATGACCAAAATCTATATGTAGCTAAAAAAAATTATTAGATTACATTTATCATAGTATCTTCATCTTGGTACTCAAAGAAGAGAAGAGAATCGATGCGTAGTGGATTAACTCAATCTAATAAAATTAATAATTATGGTTTACACAGATTGTGATAATGATGGATGATTACTAAGAATGGTACCAACTAAACAACTTTTAATGGTTGGGTAAGAGACCCTTCGAAAATTAAATTAGTGCATTAGAAAGTGGCGAATTAGCTTGAAAATTATTTTAGATGTAATATTTAACTATTTATGAATAAATTGGTAGATAAAAAAATTATACAAGATACATAACCTATTTTTGAAAAAGTTTTAGAATGAGAGAGTGAAGCCTTTTTCTTTATAGTGTTTAGGCCTTTATATAACCAATGATGTATCCAATTTACATAGTAGAAAGGATCAAAGAGTCATTTTTCTTAGGTATTGGTGGGTGAGCTGATAAGTGCTAGTACTCTAATATTATTGTATTCGATCTACACAATGTTAGTATCGAACATGATGAATAACGATCCGATTGATGTCATCATTGGAGAATCCTCAAATGTTTTGTCCTCCCAGTTATAGTAGAGGTAATTGGTGGGTTTTTTTTTTTTTTTTCAAACTAGGCCTCGAATAAAAGATTCCTAAGCTTTCTTGTAGGGTGACTTGTCATGTAAGAGACAACTATCTTTGGGGGCCTTTAGACCTACTTGTCTTGACATTGCCTTATGTTGTGACTTATGGGCTTGAGTTAAGCATGGTGGGTTTGTAGTTGTGTATTCATAAGGCCTTCCTATTGGGCTACTTTAGGATGAGCCTAGTTAGTTTATTGCCATCATTAGTCTCCTCTCCCTAAGTTTGGGCTAACTTGCTTAGCTTAGACTTAAAAACTATTGCTTGGGGCATTTCGAGTGGTGTTTTTCTTCATTGAGTGAGATTTTCAATGTTTTTCCTTCGGTCTTTCTTAACCAAAGTTGGTTAGCAGTCTTTTCCTTTAGGAGTCCGGCGCTTCGATTTTGGCAATTTTGAGTAAGAAAAGAGTAATCATTTGTAATGAGTGCCTTTGTTGTCGTGAAAGGTCGTATCTCTTGTGTTTCTAAAAAAATAATGATTATTCTCATTAAAATCCTACATGCCTAACTTATTGTCTTATTTTCATTTTTCATATCAATGTGAGGTCGCCTCTTATGTGTGGAGCATTATAACTAGGAGGCAACTTTTTTATCACCTATCTATAGGCCTTATTAAAGAGGTTTTTCCCTTACTTTTATTTACTAGGAAAAATTTATGGTGAGTTGTTTGACATGCTTTTGAGTTTTCTAAAGGGATTTTTCTTATTTTTCTTACCGATTCTCATTTTGTTTTTTCTATTATACTTAAAAGTGTGCCTTTTTAGTTGGATGCTTCTTTGATGTGTTATTTTTTTCATACTTACATATAATTTTTTTCTTTTCTCTTACTCTTTTTTTTAGGTATAAAAAAAGTGATTTTGAGAGTGTTAGGGGTAAATCTAGAGTTGTGTCTAATAGAGGTGCGCGAAATAGATACCAACTCTAATGTAGATGAGTCTTCTACACCTCAAGGTGAGTTTATAAGCATGTCTTATTTTACCGTAGGAGGCTTAAGCTATGTGTTTGGTGAAAGGCTAACTCGTCTATTGTCATTTATTAAGGGAGGATTATCTTTTGATTATGGCCCACCTTAAAGACATAATAAAAAAACCCTTTTCTAGTATGGTTGAAAGAAATTTGGATATTGTTATCTCTAAATACATGCTAGAGTACAAGCTTTTTTTACCGACTTCGTGGTAGAGGTGTTTGAATTTTTTTTTAAGTCTTTAAGTCACCTAACTCTTGGATTCTTTAGATATTCTCGTAATTTGACTCGTAAAGCTCGTAAGGATGGAAGAAGGGCATGAGTGTATGCTTTTATGGCTAGCAAAATGAACTTATTGAAAAGAGTGTTTGTGGGAAACCCTAACCTATTGGGCGATTGAAGAGAGGAATGGTTTATTGCTAGGTATTAAGGGGCGGCTTCCTAAGGTCATGGTTGGAAATTTTAGGGCCTCTTTCTATGTGGAGATTTTTTTAAGGTAACCTTGATACCTTCCCTCTCTAGTTGAGTTTTGAGCTTATCTTTTGAGACTTATTGAAGAGCAAGAAGAGGAAGTGTAAGGTTGACTAGTTGGCTAAAAGGTTGTCTCTAATTTGTAACTTGTCGGGTAGTTAATTAGATTTCAATTTATCTTTGTTTTCACTTATGTCATCATCTTTCATTTTTAACCATCTTTTTTGTTTGGTAGCATGCTCACTAGCCAAGAGAGATAATGATCCTAGTTAATTTTTCATTGATCCATCTATACATGACG